ATAACTCCGTCGACTTTCTGTGCCATCAAAATTCGAACATCAAAACAGTTCTACTGTGTGCAGCTGAGACTCAGAGAACTAATGATGTACAAATATTTCGAAAGAATTGTCTACACAAGATACTGAATGTTTGTTGACCGGATAACATAAGCGACATTCTACTGTTGGAGAGAAGAAACTAGGTTGCAGTTGAGGAGAAAATTAGGATAAGTTATTGTAAGTGGATATGACATACATTTGTGAAATCAACAAACTGCATGACGAGGCAAGCGTTAACTAGGAATCCTAAAAGGAAACTGATAAGTAGAAGACCATAGAACACAATGCATCGGGAATCGTAAGCAGACATGAAAAGGATGAATAAAAATTGGAATTAATTGAAAACGATTGCTTAGGTTAGGGTTGTATGGAGAATGCTGGTGAGCGAGCTTTGCTGCTCTATGAGGGGTAACAGTCGTATGTAATCATGTAAATTATCACGTCATATTAGTATACTTCTAGTCTCTATAAGAAAAGCACATTTGTTGAAAGACTAAGAATGCGTGCTTAGCGTTGATAAGTAGGAATAGCCTTTTGTATAAGAAAAGATTGATTGCGCAATGTTTCAAAAAAATTGTTATTTCATGTGAATAAGCGGATTCAGATAGGTGTTATGGTCCTGTCACTTCCGGTACAAGATGTTGGCAAGAAATGACGTTGCCAAAGATGAGACATTATACAAATATTTTAATAAAATGTATTTACTGCCGACTTCAAAGGACCAACCATTAACTTCAATAATGGCAAATTATCGGTGGAATTATCGGTGAGAACACGTCTGCCATAACATTTGTTGAAAATGTAAAACGTTATAGGTCTACTGGTCCTAACGATATCGATCCTATGCTTATGAAAGCTCTGGGCGATGTATTTCTCAAACCTCTTTTAATGCTTTATTTATATGCTCTTATGCAGTCTAAACTGTCAATAAACTGAAATGATGCAATCATAAATCTGGTTTGTAAAACGGTGATCAGAGAACTAGTTAGTAACCATCGCCTATTAGTCTTACAATTGTGATCACCAAACTGGTGGAAAAGGTTATTCAGATGTCTTTTCTCCACAGTTTGGTAGGAAATAATCTTCTAGTCAGATAAAAATATAGACTCAGTAGAGATCTTTCCTGCTTTTCAGATTTCACTGCAGGTGATTTGGCTTTAGCTTACTCACTTACTTACGTTACTCCTCGTAAAGGAGCATAAGCCGATCATCAGCATTTTACATCCAAACCTGTCCCGGGCGATCCCGTCAAGCTCCTCCCAGTTGTTATTCATACTTTTCATATCTCACTCTATTTCCCGACATAATGTGTTCTTTGAACTTCCTCTTTTTCGCCTACCTTCAGGATTCCAAGTTATGGCTTGCCTCGTGATGCAGTTTGATCATTTGCGTAATGTATGTCCTATGCACTTCGATCGTCTTTTCTTAATTTCTTCTTCATCTGGAAGCTGGTTTGTTCTCTCCCACAGAAGGCTGTTGCTGATGGTATCCGGCCAATGAATGTTTAGTATCTTGCATAGACAACTATTCACAAATACTTGTACCTTCTTGATGATGGTTGTTGTAGTTCTCCAAGTTTCAGCTCAGTACAATAGGACTGCCTTGACGTTCGTATTGAATATCTTCACTTTGATATTAGCTGAAAAAAACGTTTTGAGTTTCATATTGTTCTTCAATTGTAGGAATGCAGCCCTTGCTTCGCCAATCCTCGCCTTTATGTTTGCATCTGATCCTCCTTGTTCGTCGATGATGTTCCCCAGGCATGTGAAGGATCCAGAGTTTCGCCATCATGAGTGGTTGTATTGCTGTTCTTCGTGTTGTATTTGAAGAGTTTGCTTATTCCTTGGCGTAGGTTGAGGGCAACTGATGCAGAGACTGCTGCTACACTGGCTGTCTTCATCTGCATCTGTTCATGTGTACGTGATAGGAGGGCTAGGTCATCTGCGAAGTCCAAATCGTCTAATCGATTCTGAGCTGTCCATTGAATTCTGTGTTTTCTCTCAGATGTTGAGGTCTTCATAATCCAGTCGACCACCAGAAGAAAGAGGAAAGGAGAGAGTAAACAGCCTTGTCTGACCCCGGTCCTTACTTGGAATGCATCTGTCAGCTGTCCTCCGTGCACGACTTTGCACTGTAGTCTGTCGTATGAGTTCTGGATAATATTGACAATCTTCTCAGGAACTCCGTAGTGTCGAAGAAGTTTCCATAATGTCCTCCTATCTACACTGTCGAATGCCTTTTCATAATCACTGAAGTTGACGTATAGTGACGAGTTTCACTCAACTGATTGTCCGGCGATGATCCGTAGTGTTGCAATTTGGTCTGTGCACGACCGATCCTTACGGAATCCAGCTTGTTGATCTCGAAGTTGGGAGTCTACTGCATCCTTCATCCGGTTCAGCAACACTCTGTTGAAGACTTTCCCTGGTATTGACAGTAGTGTAATGCCTCTGTAGTTTTCACATTTGCTCAGATCTCCTTTCTTCGGAATCTTGACGAGGTGTCCTTCTTTCCAGTCCATTGGCACTTGTTCCTCCTCCCAAATCTTTTTGAATAGATAGTAAAACATGCTTCTGGTTACTCCGACGTCTGATTTCAGTGCCTCAGCTGGTATGTTGTCGGGTCCCGCTGCTTTCCTGTTCTTGATTTGTCTGGGGCCCATTTCGATTTCTTCCGTCGTTGGTGGGTTGACATCTATAGGAAGATCTGTGTGTGCTGCTTCGATGTCCGGTGGATTCATTGGAGCTGGCCTATTCAGGAGTTCCTCGATGTATCCTACCCATCTGTTCCTCTGTTGTTGAATTTCGGTGGTTGGTTTGCCTTCTTTTTCTTTGACCGGCCTCTCTGGTTTACTGTATTTCCCTGCTAGTTTCTTCGTTGTATCGTAAAGCTGTTTCATATTTCCTGCTCTAGCAGCTTTTTCTGCCGTCGTTGTTAATTCTTGCACGTATTTCTTCCTGTCGGCTTTAATGCTCCTCTTCACTTGCTTGTTTGCTTCTATGTATTCAGCTTGTGCTTGGACTTTCTCTGCTCGTGTTCGGCTGTTGTTAATTGCTGCCTTCTTGTTCTTCCTTTCTTTGATCTTGTCAAGTGTTTCTGTAGAGATTCATTCCTTATGATGATGTTTCTTTAGACCCAGAACCTCTTGACACGTTGAAGTTAATGCTTCTTTGATGCCTTTCCAGTTGTCCTTCATACTAGTTTCTTCTTCTTTCAGCAGATCTTGTAAAGCTTGGAACCTGTTGTTGAGAATTCATTGAGTTTGTCAGTATCTCGAAGGAAGGCTGTATTGAACCTTCGTAGCGCTGTTTGTCCACTTGTCCAGTTCTTTTTTAGCTTCAGTTTTAAATTGGCCACAACTGGGTGGTGATCTGAAGCTACGTCAGCACCTCTCCTGGTTCTCACATCTTCCATTGTCCTTCGGAATTTTTTGTTCATTCAAATATGATCTATCTGTTTCTCTGTAGTGTGGTCCGGTGAGATCCATGTAGCCTTGTGTACACGCTTGTGTGGAAATATTGTGCCTCCTATGACCAATTCGTTGAATGCACACAAATTTGCAAATCTTTCTCCATTTTCGTCCCTTTCTCCCAGTCCATGTCGTCCCATAACATCTTCATATCCAGTGTTTTCCGTTCCAACCTTGGCATTGAAATCTCCCATCAGAATAGTCAGGTCCTTTGTTGGTCACTTTTCGACAATTGACTGCAGCCTATTGTAGAATTCATCTTTAGCGTCTTCATTGTAGTCGTTGGTAGGCGCATAGCATTGGATAATGTTCATTGAAATGCCCTCTTTCTTTGTTTTGAATGAGGCTTTGATGATCCTTAGTCCATGAAATTCCCATCCTATAAGTGCATTTTGTGCTCGTTTGGACAGCATCAATGCAACTCCTTGTGTATGTGTTGCATTTTCTTCTTCATAGCCGGAGTATAACAGAAGCTCTCCTGAAGTTAGTCGTTGTTGTCCAACTTGTGTCCAATGTGTTTCACTGCTCCCAAGTACCTCTAGGTTGTATCTTCTCATTCTGCAGCCATTTGGAAGGCTCTTCCGATGTCCCACATTGTACGAACATTCCGTGTACCTAAATAAATGGTCGTTCTGTTTGTCAGAAGGGGCATCGGCCTCGTAACTTCCGAAGGGATTCGGCTTTCATCATGAGGCGTCATAGTTCTTCTAAATGAAGACCTTCTGACTCTCAGGGCAGAGTTTAAAAGGTTCGAATATTTGTTTCTGGTTAGTGTTTTTTAGCGAGTTAGTTTTCTACGGGATGGGGATGCTAACCCCATGCCCAACCCTCCTTCTTTGTCCGGGCATGGGATCGGCATTAACTCAAGAAAAGCTACAGGCGGAGTCGAATTCAGAGGTAAATAGTTATATTCTTGCAACGGATAACCTTCTTTAGACCTAAACACTGTATATCACATAGTATATTATTGCAGGACAACCTAAATTTACTGGTTAAATGGATGTATACGTTGTCATCTGAAGTTTATTTTAGTAATAATGTAGTGATGTGAATAAGTAACTGCGATGATTCATATAACTACATAAGTAAAGTTCTGTTATTTAGAGTAAAGGACTATATAGACCTAAGGGTCTTAAAAATCAACTACCGGAGAACTTAGGGTATTTCGTTATTTGGATGAATAAATGTTCGGGTTACTATACTCGATTTTTGGAAGGCTGCATTTGGAAACATGGGACTCAAGCAACGAGTCTCTGCTCCGAGTGCGAGGCAGATAATTTAGAACAAGTCTAATGAAAAGGGAAGAAATGATGATAGGTTTGACTGACCTATTATAAGAAGACAGATTGGATTTTCGTTTCTCTCATGGAGTAACGAACTACTGAAATACTCCATCAGCACTTTCTGTCGATAAAATAACAGCGAGACTGGATCGTCACAGAAACATGAATTACTAGAATTAATATAAGTGGACTGACCTCCTGTCCAAACTACTGAAAGAGTTCAGACCGCCTTAATTGGTTACTGCGCTACATTATGCAGAAGGGTACTCTAAATACTGGTGAACAGCAATCTGTAATTGAAAGCTTTGTTTAACATTTTAAAACATTTTTAGTCTGCTGAATTTTTCGCACATGATGGGATTTTTACACTCGATTCATCGCAGTGGTTCAGGTACATTCTCTTGGTTTACTCATTGTATATTTTTTTTACAGAGTAGTGAATTCCTTGACGAATCTGCAAGTTTGTAACAATTATCTGGTCGGTGCTACTTCTAAAAACACCTTAATAAGAACGTCCACTGTTCCTCCTTACAATATATCTGGTTTGTTTCATTATCATATATTTATTCACACATAAATCTTACCCCTACATTTTTGATTGTCCACAAAATTCTTAATGATCTTTATATTCTTCAATCAGTATTACACAGTTCCGTGCTAATATATTACAAATTATGAGATTATGTGTACAATTATCTTGTCCTTGCCTATGTAAATAATCTTTATTGGGAAACGTTAGTTGACTTGATTTACGATCTTAATGTCAGAGGTTGGAGTACCTTTTGACTTTTATGTGTAAGAACAGGCTTCGGTCTCCGAACTGTCTGGCTGATGCTTCTAAAAGGCTTTATTGTTATAGGTTACTATGAAGAGATAAAAATAATTTGATTACTGTTCTGTGTTGTTTCTTCTAGAAGGTACCTTTTCTTTTGCGTACGCTGACTCACTGGCTCCAACTGGTTAATTCACATTCAGAGTGCAGAACTGCTGTTAGTATATATGTATATATATATATTTATATATATACTAAGAAACGTCACAATACATGATTAACATTGTTATAATACATGTCCTTAATGACTCTGTTTAGCCGTTCTAACATGGATATTTAAAATTTTATTTTAAACGATATATATGACTAAAGCTAAGTATTTCATATGACTTGCTATTGATCTCTCCAATGTAGTTCTCAGGGTCCTATAGTGGATAAATGGAAGTGCTCTGATTTCAAAACAGCGACGACCGTAAGGTAAAGTAGATTCATCGTCTAAAATCAAAAAATATATTTTCTTATATCTCGTGGAGCACTAAGAAGTACTTGTGGACGATGTTATTCCGTGATTTTGTGTTTGCTACGGGAAGATTAATGGTAGTCATATTGAAAACTGAAATATATTTACTTTGGTTCGTTTATTAATTTATTTGAACTTATTTCTGACAAGGTATCACTTCAAGCACTATGTATGGTCGATTATTAGTCTGAAATTAAAAAAAATTTAAAGTTAGAATACTGAAATCATTATTTTTACTAAGGGTATTACCAAGCACTCATAAACTTACATAATAATGGAATGCTCCTGTTATGCACTCATAGCTTAATTTAAGCTAGTCTTTCGAAACAATAATTTCACATAAACAAATTATCGCTTTTCGCTCTGCACTACTGTTTTATGAACCGTAGTACAAATATCCATTTAGTTTCTGCTGTTTGCTCATATTTAATGATTCTTTCATGTAGAATTCTTTTTATGAAACTGGAATTTTCAGCATCGTTTCCATTTATATCTAGAAATTGAAATTAGCCGCCTTTCAGATGACCGAGTCCATAATATTTTTCTGGATCCTATGGGTTGGCATACTGTAATAAGTATGCAGTCTGGCACAAATTTCTACATCAATAAAGGTATGAAAAAGGTCCGCCCTTTAAACAAGACAAAAGTGAGTGTTTGTATATCGTATTTGATTTGATGAAAATATTTCATTTATTTCGCACTAGAAAGTTAATCAAGACCAATGTGCCATACTTTACTCAGGAAGTTTCACTATCGTTTTTCGACAAATCATATAATAAAACGCATAGGTTTTTATTTACATGTTCTTGTTTGGAGTTAGTTGAATTCTTTTCCGAACTTTCTAGCATGACTATTAAAAATTACCACTTTTCGCGAATCGCACTACTTTTATGTTTACATAAAAACCACTTATCTGGCTTTGTTGTAATCCTTTGTGTATTCAGACAGAAACTGGACCAAACATACATCAAACTAGATAATCCTCTGCCAGGGAAGTCCTACTCACTGCCTTCTCGTGGCGCGGGTGTCGTTTACGAAAATGAGAGAACGAAAAGCGAATGTCCGGCACTTTAACTGGATCTCAAACCAATGGTGCACATGGGCTCCAGTATCCTGTGGGAACAAATGGCGTATGAACCAATCGTTGGCCACCGGCTTCCATGGGACTGCAGCTCCTATCGATGCTCCACGGCCTTGTGGGTCAGACCTTTAGGTCAGGAACTCGGGGTGTGGCCCTCTAAGAAAACCACCTGCTTCGGTTTGGGCACCCGGACAGTATCACAACCCTCACACATATCGAATGAGATTTGTGTGGCGCATATGTATTTGGTGCCTCCTTGTACCAATATCTATGTGTTAAAATAAAAATAAAATAAAAACAAAAACTTGGTGCGAAAGTCTCCGGAAATGTTGTTGTCGAGACCTTCCTTTTTGTCGTTGGTGGCTCTGAAGGAAAATGCACTTAACATAAAATGTTTATGTTCACTTACAGGGAAATTCACCTCTGGTAATAAAATCGACTGTAAAATGTATATGTAAAGTAATAGATTGATAATGAGTAAATGATCTAAAAATAATGGAACTGTGGTTTAGTGGTTATTTGTGCCGAATTCTAGGCACTTGGTTGTAGGTTCCAACCCCACTCCACCTACTGCTTGTGCAACTAGGTAGTACCAGTAGCCACAGACAAAGTGGAGGTCAACGCCAAGTACCTGATAAATAACTTGAAAACCTAGGAACGTCGGGCTCTTTTATAGGCTTTGAGAGTTTTTAGTATTAACAAAATTAAACTAACAAAGTATTTTTTCTAAAAGTTTATGAAAAGTAATATTAACGTTAGCAAAAGCTCAAAACGAACAGGCTAAGTAGGATGCTGAAAAACTTTATCTAAAAATTAGCAACTATAATTCCGGTCATGAGCCACGTGATCACTCTTAATCTACTATTAATCCGGTATGGTTTTTTCATCAATCTTCTAGTTAGCTTCAGAAATCTTGTGTAACTCACGCTAATTTGTATAGAGTTACTAACGAAATCCCATCTTTTCAACGTTTTACCCAATATATTTATTTACCGTTCCATTTTGTATTTTAGGATCATTTGTTTGACTCTATAGCTTGGAATCATCATAATGTTAATGAATTGTCTACACAAGAAATTTTAATCGGTACAAATGATGGACTAATATTTGAAACAATGCTTATGTTTAATGAAGATAGCTTTTTTAGTTCGGGAACTATTGAACAGTATTGGATCCAGGCAAGATGAACATTTTACTTTTTTACTGTTTATGATCGTCCAAATTTTTGATTAGTAAATTGGCTTGTAAAGCTGTGGCCTAATAATTGAAGTACTGTACTTTCAGTTTGTGTTTTGCATCACGAATAAGATTTAGCAAGATAGCCATTGCAAACCAGGATGTATTAGATGTGTATTTCGCCTCAGTGTAGAGCTCCTTGGCAGTACGCCCCGACGACCACCCAGTAGTAGAACCCAAGATGTTCAGGTCTTGCGACAAGTGCGTAACGTTTAGACATCTAGGTTGATATCCAATGACTAATAATTGCAAATCTGCTTTCGACTGTCATGTGTCTGTGGGAATGCCGAAATATAAAAGCAACTTCTGCCTATAGTTCGTGCTGATGGTATTAAGAAGAACAATGAAAACTTCACGTCCAAAACATCTAGCTCAGAGAACGACACTCCACCAAAATCAAAGGGAACACCTTGCTTACGTCGACGCGCAATGTTCGATGGTATGCGAGTAGGCTGAAAGAAAGCTAGGGGCAGGCAAAGCGAGCTGCTGTATAAGTCGAAAGATAAGGATATATAAGGTGGGAATAAAAGAGAGTGAATAAGTAACGTGGTAAATAATAATAATAATAATAATAATAATAATAATAATAATAATAATAAATAATAATAATAATAATAATAATGTGAATTGTTTGACTATTAATCGAAGCATGAATAGAAATTTCAGTAAATATCGTCATTTTCACTTTATTTGTGTGTGGGCTGTGATACTGTCCGGGTGCCCAGACCGAGGCCGGTGGTTTTCTTAGAGGGCCACACCCCGAGTTCCTGACCTAAAGGTCTGACCCACAAGGCCGTGGAGCATCGATAGGAGCTGCAGTCCCATGGAAGCCGGTGGCCAACGATTGGTTCATACGCCATTTGTTCCCACAGGATACTGGAGCCCATGTGCACCATTGGTTTGAGATCCAGTTAAAGTGCCGGACATTCGCTTTTCGTTCTCTCATTTTCGTAAACGACACCCGCGCCACGAGAAGGCAGTGAGTAGGACTTCCCTGGCAGAGACTGTATACGCGTGGCCGTGTGAGACTATTTCGAGAGGGAGGACGGGCCCACTTCACCCTCGGGCATAACAGGGCATTGGGGGGCTCCTTGTTCTACTTTTCTTAGTTCTGTATTCATCTTATTTAGTTAGTTGGATTGTTGGTGTAATGGTTGGTACTCTTACAGACCTCATGTACTTCAAAAGTGGCAAGTATTCAGTATGAAAACTGTTTAAATCTTTATTGTGTTACTTATTTATTGCTTATATTTGTGTAAATGTCCAATGGCTTTAAGATCTGGTGGATTCATATGTTTCCGTAAAATGTTTCCTATTATTTTTGTTTAAGACAATCATAAGTTATAACGACAGTTTAATTTACTTTACATTGAGGTTGATTACTCTTTCTTGAGGCACAAATTTTCTTTAAAGCAAGGATTTATTGATTTTTGATTCGTAATTGAATGGTTCCAGACCATATATTACATTTTATAAGTGATGCTCTTATTAAATGAATATATCTAATTTATATCATCTAACTATATTTATAATATTTTTCTATTCACTTTAACTTCTTTCACCTAGATGATTAATTTAGGACATAGTGTAACAGGTGTAGAAGTGATTCGCTTTCCTATTGGTTCGCCTAATGTACTAGTTGGTGAACCGCAACGATGTGTAGTCTTTGCTACAACACCTTGTCGTATGTATCAATTCGCTGGATGGATAAATACTAACAGTTCAACAACCGGTTCAATTTTATCTCATCTAGCAGCAAATACTGCTACATCCGGTATATCCAATGCAATAAATGCTTATACTGGAGGTCATAGGTCTAGTTTAGTGAATGAATATAATCAACAACAATCTGTTGGGATACAAAATACAACTATATTTCCAATTATCACTGGACTATTCTCTAGTGTATTCAACTCAGATGATAAACTACCTGTTGGTAAGTTGTTTTCTTCGTATCGCTGTTGTTTTAAATTTCAGTTTGTTTGATATATATTGCTTAGAAACAAAATTAGAGTTTTGTACCTGTTTATTTCGCAACAACAGCTGCTACATTCTAGTAATCAGATTTACTGTCTGAAATCACCATAACTTTTGCGAACTAGAAAGTTTGTTTCTAGTTTGTATTTAGTTGTTTGAGTTGTAAGGCGCTTCTTCTTCGTTGCTATCATCTTTAATATTCCACTCCTTAATACCTTGGTGAGAGAATGAAATAGATAAATCTCATTACAAATCGCATCACATCATGTCCTGTTTAGCATCTTAATATTAAATGTGATTGATGGGGACACAGTCATTTTACAAGACTTTTGTGTATTCCATTTGGTATTAGATTCTGTATCAACCAGCTAAATTTCTTAACGTCGCTTCAGCAGGAGGCCAATAACCATTATTCTTTATTTCGAATTTCTGTAAACACGAGTTAATAGAAACTTAGTCGACGTGGAGGATGAGTTGTAACCAGAAAGGTAACCGAATATGCCTCATTTTAATCCCTCCGTGTGAAATAGTTCTTATGGAGTGCCAATCAGAAGTAGCCTAATGAAAAAGCCGATCGACAGCATTCAGAACTGACATAAAGGTCAAGTGCGTTTCATTGGGGTTAAAATGGGTCGATTTCTTTAAGATTGACTGATATTTATATATTGATATTTGTGCATTTTTCGGTAGCCCAATACACTTTCTCGCCCACTCTTGTGTTCCCGCTCAAGTAGTCATTTGGGGTTTAGCTCGTAGCACACCGTGTGTCAACATCAGATTTCGGACACCACACGTCACTACAATAGAACACAATTATGTCTGTTGAAATCAGTTAAAGATGTTTAAGTGATGCTTCTAAAGTAAATTATCAGTTTTCAGGCTGTAATTTAATAGTTTAGGCACTGAACTCTGAACTACAGAGTTACATGTTTGATCACTGTTTCACTAATCGAGGTTTTAATTGTAAAAGTTGTAGGAGTAATCTCTTTTTCATAGTGACGAAATTGATTTGTGTAAAAGCACAGATAAAAGCACACATATTTACTTAGCCTGTGAAATTAAGGCTTCCTAAGCAATTTTAATCTTATTCTCTAATCTGACCGAGAATTCATCAATTAATGTACATTATCACTAAATTGAACTGGTAGGGGATCATTTTAAAAAATCATTAAATCTAATACAAATCAGCAATTACTTAGACAAATTCATTAAATAATCTTCTTATGAGAATCAAACATTCACAGTTCAATTTATTCTAATAAATTTCACCCCAAATACTCTGGTATGGTCGAGGGAGGGGAGAGTCAGCTTTCCCTCTCGAAATATGCTCGCATGGACACGCGTATAAAGCAAATGCCAGGGAAGTCCTATTCACTGCCTTCTCTTGACGGAGGTGTTCTTTAGAAAATTGAGAGGACGAAAAGCGAATTTCCGACACTTTAACAGGGTTGGTGGACACGAAGTTTCCCCCAAGGGAGTTAGAAAACCACAATTTCAAGCCAATAGTGTACACGGGCTCCAGTATCTTTAAGGAACGAATGGCGTATGAACCAATTATTGACCACCGGCTACCATGGGACTGCATCTCCTTACGTTGCTCCATTACCTTGTGAATCATACCTTTAGGTCGAAGGCTCCGGTTGTGGCCCCCTAAGAAAGTCAACTGCATCGGTCTGGGCACTCAGGCGGTTTCACAGCCCACATACAAATCAAGTAACTTGTATGGCACATATGTATTCGGTGCCCGTTTGTACCAATATCTATGTGTTCAAATAAACAATTAAATAAGGTTTCAGCTTACATGTTTTTTTCCGGATCAGAAGGACAGATGTATATGTAGCGACTATTTATGTTCGTCATCATTCATTTCTATCATTCACAGACTCCTAGTCATTTCTCATTTGTATTACTGGTTGATCAAACATTTGGGAAGCGTTTAGTTTAATAGAATTTCACGGATCGTAGTAATTTCAACAGCTCATATTTTGTATCGTAGCCTTAAAAATATTGGCGTACAACATTTTAAACTACTGAAAGTTATGATGATGTAATAAATATTTTGTTGCACAGATTTCATATTATTCGAATGAGTACATTAATCAATAATTTGTTGTTTAATTTTCTTTCAATATGTCTAGGATCCAAAGTTACTGAATTTCCCGGAAGTTTTGGATATAGTGATTTAAAACTTTATCGTAATGTAAAAGATGAACTCCCTAGTAAATTTGCTTGGATGACAGGTTAGGGTTATCCTATTTGTTTAATATAGTTGTATCTCAAATTAAAACCAGTGAATATATTCTATTTGTATTAATGCATTCCAAATTATTCATCTCAATTATACTTTGGCAATGCTATGAGATGATGAAGTTTATCTGATGTAGTATGGTATACTATTAACCCAATACATTTCAAGCAATCTGATTGCATATTCACTTGTTAAGGTATTTCTACTTAAAAAAATAAAAGATTGAAACAAATTTGAATATAAAAAAGATAAAGATAATATGAAGTGCACTATTCTGGATCATAAATTGATATTACCAGAGCAAACTCAAAGTAAAAACAAATTGTTTTCAAGCATGGTAAAAAGGGTTCGAGTCTTTGTATGGTTAAGGCTTCAATAAACTTAATTGTTTATCCTAGGCAATTTTTATACGAAACTATAAAAGCTAAGTTGGGAACGCGTGTTTTATCCTATTTGGAACTTCTCAGCTGGATAAATTTGCAATGCTGAGTCTATGCTTACTCTGGAACCTGAAGTCAGTACCTTTTACCTTAAACGTCAGCGCGTTATCTACTTACATATTGAGATCAATAACAAAATCAGTCGAGGTTACAGCATCAGTGGTAGTAAAAGGGATTAAACTCTTTAATATACAGTTCGAAAAAGAGTTATAGATTCCAGCGATAAGTAATACGAAATTATATTTAATTTCAAGTCTGAGGAGACGATACAGATTGAATACATTTGCACCACTTTGACTGATTGTAAGCCATGTGACCTAGTATTTTGAAATATTAATCTGAAGTATCACATGGACCGCAACCAGGTAGTCTGCATCCACCAATACGACTTAGTTCAACAGTTAATGGCTTTATAAACTGATGCCATGCCTTGGTTTGGCCTCTCTATTTTCTTCCTCAACCTACTACTCAAATGAACATAGTTCGTTGTGAAACGTAATGATGACTTCAATTGCATACACATATGTTTCATTAAATGTTATTTGATTTATTCATAAAGTCATAGAATGATGGAATATCTAGTCTTGAGAAGATTATGAAATAAGCTTCTCTGTAGTGTCGAATTTTCTAGTGTATAATTTAATATCCAAAAATGAATCACATTTACCCTGTATATTTTATCCAAGAAATTTACGCTTTCCTACTCTACTCAAACTAACAATCAATAATTTGGCCTGTTAATTTTAATGTCTAAATGGCTATGGTTATTTTTAGCTTCTTTTCCAAACCACCGCTGCTTTCGTAAACATACCTCACTGAGGTTGGCCGTCTTTTTCATACACGTGTGATACTTATCTGTTGATATAATCTCGAGTTATCTGGATTTCTTGAATAATTGTTAGTTAGTTAAGTCGTACTTAAGTTAAAAATTATGATGCAGTTTTTTCTTTATCACGCTATTCTCAATATACATGAATGTAGCGGCTTTTAATCAACGGGCAACAGTTCTAATTATCTCCTCGCAGCCACTTTAATCTGAACAATTGGTAGTTAGTGCTACTGTAATGAACATGAACACAGGTGGGGTCAACCAACGTATTTTAATACGAAATTACAAAATACCTTGATTAAATATGAGAAGCATACATTGAATACTTCATTTACGATTTCCCATCATTTGTCCTTCACACTCTGTATTGTTCTTCCAGTTCAAAATTCATTTCTACTTCCACTTCTGTTTTCAACAGGATCTTCTTGGCCTTCTACTGCCAGCTATTTAACTTTTGATTGATGTCATATACTACTGATGTCTCTCGACATTAGTGGCATACACCACACTACTATGACGTACGCAAATGATGTAACTCAAAGCTGATAATATTGCTGTGTATGTGATAAATAAGTTTATGTTATTTTTGACTGTAATAACACATTCCTTTTTAAAATCTCTTTATTCTTGATTGTAAAATTCCAGGTCCAGGTGTTTACTTCGGTTACATAAGAACAGAACAATTAAGTATGCCTCCATTTACAAAACTGTCAACAAATGATCAACCAATTGATGTAAAATCATTTCCAAATGAAGTTGTTTCCCTTCTACCTACTGCCACTGATAATACAGATGATCCGAATCGACCGAAAGATATATTCTCTGGTCGTGGTGTTAATTTAACGCGAAATACAAAACTTATCCCATATCCAATTATTCATATGCTTGAACGACCTGGTGTACCATTAGGCATTTGTTTGACAGAATTTCATCTTATCATTATCTATGTGGATCGCATTAAAGCTGTGAATACTTTAGATGGTCGAGCAGTTTATTCAATGCCGTTAAATAATATCATTGGCTGTGAACGGGCTTTAGGTATATCGCGTGACTCATTATCTAATCATATTTGGATATTCAGCAATAATCATTTGGCTCGATTAAATATGAAGAATGAATTATGTAGAATATGGCAAATCTATTTGGATCGTCTACAGTTTGATGAAGCGCGCCAATTTTGTCAGGTATGTCACGTCATAGGCCACTGCCCACTATTCCCCAACTAGCTCTATCCTGGGCTCACTTTTCATGTTATCCCCAAGTGATATTCATTCGTTTGTTATCTGCCTCCAATGCTCGGCGCGATATGTTCTTTGTCTGCCTCTCTTCCTCTCACCTCCAGGATTCTGAGTTAGAGCTTGTCTCGTAATGCAATATGTGTTTTCTGATGTTTTCTGAAATGTATATCCTATCCACCTCCAGTGTGTTCTCCTAATTTCCTCTTCAGATGTAAGTTGGTTTGTTCTTTACTACAGTAGGTTGTCGTTGATGGTGTCCGGCCAACGGATTCGGAATATCTTACGTAAACCATTGTTTATAAGTACCTGTAAATTTTTGATGATGGTTGTAATAGTTCTTCAAGTTTCAACTCTGTAGAATGGAACTAACTTTTTTGACGTTTGTATTGAAACTCCCGAATTTGGTGTTGGCCGACAGTTGTTTTGAGTTCCATATGTTCTTTAATTGCAGGAATGCTGCCCTCTCCCCGCATGCGGCACTTTTAGGTTTACTGCCAGTTCGAGGCCCGGATAATGAGAAGGGTCGAGCATGTGGTTAACAACTCCATCCCGTAGAAAAGAACCTTGTAAGAAAGTTAAATAATAAGAGTGTGAGTAATATTCAATGTGTTGTAGTCCGTATAACATTCTGTTCTAAACATGTTTCAGTTTTCCCTAACAAAAAAGGTCTTTAGTCGGGAACGACTTGTAAATAGATGAAGTATGTTAAAAATCTATCATCTCATCAGTCTATCTGCTAAACTGTTTGCCTTATTATCAAATGTCGACACTTTAAGGTGTTCTGATCCCATGAGTCACTGTCGTAAGAAAGTCAACTGATAAGATATTTTATTTCGTCTAGGTTCCATGTTTGTTGGTCAATAAACTTGCGTTATCTGCAGATAATAAAATAAATCTGTCATAGATTAAAACCTGTGTTTTTTAAGCGATATACGGAAATAGAGTTTAACTAAACTAGTGTGGTCACTGATGATAGTATGGTCATTATGAAAATGAATATTCTACTGGTTCAGGAAAACTGAACATCAATTCAGCTTTTCCCAAGTCTAAACGGCATTCTTATCCTGCTAGAAACGATATGAGTGTCTAATACCCTTAAATTATGGACATTTTACTATCTAACGTTTGTGCGCCATCTGAGCAGTAGTTCGACATTACACCATTTATTCTCATATTCGAACATCGTCCTACCTCCTTCCACTTGGCCAACCGTGTAGCGTCACTAGCCCTCATACTTAGATTATCTCAAAGTCAAGAAGACAAACTTCTACCTGGAAAATAAGTTGAGTTTTGTGTTAAGTGACAACAAGAACAATCATTATATGTTTGGTCAGTCTACATCTGTTTTAATATTCGAAACTAAGCACGGAAATCATCAATAACTTATTATTTTATATACGAGTTAGATTTCGAGTGCGTTGACTAAACGAGGATATCTCATCTCATCTTTTTTTCATCAGATAGAACAACTATTAAATCTCAGTCAATGTTGCAAATCAGTTCTGTCTCATCCCTCTTAGTGACTTGATCAATGGAATTCAATCAAAACTTTGTTATCTTTAGAGTTTAGATTGTTCATATACCTCGTAGTACTTGAGCACTCGAACGTCAGAACCCTCCAAGTCTCAAATGAGAAAACAGAAGACGAATGAGGAGGAATGTTATTCCAAACAGTGTCAAATATAGTACAAAACTCTCAGGTATTTATAGTTTTTAGTAAAAACGAAATCATCATTAGAGCCATTCAATCCGCATACAGTGGGTTTTAGCATTTGTCTATTAGGAGAGCTACATGTCGAGACTGTAGAATGTTCTTCCAAAAGATGATTGGATGGAATGTCTTAGGCTCTTCCTGAGCCTCTTTGGGTTCACCCTTGGACCGTCTTCATAACTTAGAAGGACTTGTAATAAATGACATTGGTCACTACCGAGTGACCGATCAATCGTAAATATATTTTAGTCCTACAGGCGGTCAGTCGTGGCCCGGATACCTTAGTGTTTACGTCTCTGACAGTGAAGCTGGGTGACATAAGACCGAATGCATGAAGTAGCACTAGTTCCCCCAAGACTACATGTACACCTTGTTGGTGAGTACCATATAGGACGAAATCTAAGTCTAGGGTCTCCTGACAGCTACCTCCAACCATCATCTTATTCCTTATAATTTGCAGTTTTATCCTATTTAATTGGAATAGGTAATATTACCTCATTGTTGTTATCTTATCATCTTGATCGTATTTATTAATCAATCTTTTATTTCTTGTTCCACGCATAAAAAAAGGATCCTGGTCAAATGGATACCATCAATATACGTGAAGCGGAATATAATTTTGATAATGAAAAGTAAGTACAATTTTACTTGTAAACTCATTTTTTGTCCCACATTCAACAATTATTTATTCTCATTGATTTTTGAAACTGTGGTCTCCTACATTATTACAAAAAAAAACAGGATACCTAATATACTGTCATTATGTTGAGTTTATTTACAGTTCCCATCCTTGACACCTACGTTTTCGTACTTGAATATTCTAATATGTAATCGGAGGCTTGTAATGACCACTCATCTATGCGATTGCATAGAATATAGTTTATTGCTATAAAGTTCCGTTCACTTTCTACGCTTAATAATGTTATTTCTTCTGATTGGAAAAAAATTAAACAAGAGTTGGACAAAAATTGAATCGATGAACATACAGAGTATGAGATTGTTTTCCACGGAAATGATTTTAAAGTGGTTAATATCCGTTCATCATACAAAATTTTGCATAATTTTAAACCAATTTTGTATCTTGTAGTATTCGAATAAATAATAATTTTAAGAAAAAAAAACTCATTAAATACAAGCCTATTTAGTCGGTTTTGAGATAATGTTTAGATATGAGTGGCAGTGAAATTATTACCTACCTGTTTAAATCTAAATAGATGGAGAAGTGGGATTCCAATCTACCAACCCAATTGATTGAAAGTTATGTGCTTCTAGTTTTTAATTCACTGATTTAAATCATCCAAGCAAAATGTTCAATAACATTCTAAAATGGAAAAAATACTGTGGTATTAATTCTAAAACTTCCAGTTCATAAACATTATTTAATCATTCAGTCATAAACAGCTTAAAACTTCAGTTCTTATATGTGCATTTGTCCAAGTTGCCAGATCATATCAGCACAGTTGTTGAGATAAATGCCAATGTAGTAGAATTAATAACAATATCAGTGACAGTTGAAAAAAACTAGATAAATGTAATATGATTTGAGAACAAAGAATGAATTCGCGGAATAAAAATTATGAGATAATTTCAAAACTGAAGATCAAGGGGATGACGAAAGAGTGGATGCATTCAAGTTATTGGGATGGATTCTGATCCCGGTCACACAATGTCTCTACCATCAGTTTCGTTAATCGCGCTGAATCTGTCAGTCGGCTACAACGTAGGACCAGGCACATATATGCATCGACCCAAGTTTCCACATCTCATTAACACAAAAAAATCAACATCAAATTCATAGAATTAGTTACTTCAATAATAGTAATATATAAAAGAAAGATTGTATATAAGGATATAGAACAGGAATAAACAATTAGTTGGTAGAAAGAAAAGCTTAAAGTAATTTCAATCTCACGGTTTAGGTGAAGACAAAGAGTGTATATACCTACGCCATTGTGATCGATTTTGAGCCATTTCACCCAGAGCCTCCAACTATTGGATACGATAACCGTGGTTTCAAGGGCTGATGTCACGTTTTGGTTTGATCGCCCCTAACTTTCTTGTAACCATTCCCAACAATAGTCAGCATTGTACGTCGTGGTAATCGGTGTTCAAACATACGTAACAAGTGATCCAACCATCTCAGTCGGTGAATAACCATAACCTCATCAACTGATTTACCATCGTTCCTTATTACCCTGCGAGCAACATTTCTAAGGCATCTGTGGTCAAATACTGGTAACTTACGAGTACCAGAAGACTGCATTTTATCAGCGTTTTCACCAAACAGGACTATATCATCTGCGTATTTTAAGTCCATAAGTGGACCTCCTGGTTGGAGATCACTTCCTAAAAAATTCAGTTGACGAGAACGTTGTTTCCATCAGTATGTCTATGATGAAGTTGGACAAAATTGGAGATATTGGACAGCCTAGACGGACACCACTTGAGGTAGAGAAGATTTGTAGCTCAGGTGGATGAGTTTGTTTGAGTTTTGTTCTCTGAGCTAGAGCTCAGAGGGGTATTGCTTATGAATGCAGTGGTCTTGAGTGTTGCTAAAAGTATGAGGGTCGTTGTCACTTTCCGGATGCCCATACTGTGGAAGGGTTCTTCTGGAGGTACCTGAAAAGGAAATTGGGTTAGAGTTGGTCTTAGTGACCTGAGAGCGTGAACGCAGTGCCCAAGGGACAACTGCTTGAGGTCGGTCACACACGACCTTTTGTGGGTAGTTTTCGTTCTAGCTCCGTGCTTGTTGGGCCTTTACTGCTGCAGACGGAGATCCATAGAATTAAGACGAGGTGTGCATTTTTAGGGTGGATCTTTTCTAATCTCACCCCTCCTTGTGGGGCAACAACATCGCCGTTATCCTGGTTGTCTGAAGGAAACACCTTACTGCTGTCACACTTTTGTACAGTCAGCAGTACGACTTCGCCCTCATACCTTGGGTTTGCTGCTTTTAGTCTTACCGTTCTTGAACCGACCTGTCTGTCGTTGTAGGGCCTTGAGAAACGATTGTTCCGGCCAGTAAAACTCTGTTTGTTCATTACGACAGGCAAGCAGGACCACCACGTAAAGGTAGCAGCAACAGTCGGGTAATCGTGCTGAATCTGGTGATGCAGTTTGAATATAGCTACACTGCTCAGTCCAATAGTCAAAGACTTCACAAACTGATCTCACTGTCATCACCAACTACTATATCGAGTCAAGGCACCCAGTGGTTGAGTATACGTAATCTATGTCGTAACCACCTCCATCGATGAAGATTCACTACCTCATTAAGTTATTTATCACCCTCAGTCTAACCTTAGCATTGCTAACTCAATGATTCCATCATAAAATAAACATTACTTCGAAAGCATCTTTCTATGTAATCATGTCGACAATAGTTCATATTAAGTAAAACTTTTAGGAAAAAACTTATCGTTTCCAGTTATTTTTCAGTCGTTTATCTCTTTTTCTCTTCTCAATAATAGCTATGGACTTGCAGCTAAATTATTTGCTCGTAGTTCTATACCGTTTGAACAAATTGCATTACGTTTTTTTCGTTTATCATCATCATCATCATCAACAACAACAACACATACAATAGATCTTTCATCAACCATTATACCATCTACATTAATTCAACAAGGTTATGAAATTAATGATGATCATGATATTATGGAAGCATTAATTATTCAATCAAAACAACAACATCCAATCAATGACAAACTAACAGGACTAATTGATTCATCTATAAAACAATGTAAATCATTCATAACATCATTCCATTCATATAGTAGTACATTGACACCATTGAAAATATTTTTATCATCAAAATTAGATTATTTAATAGAACAGAATAATCAAATAATAAGTAATATCAATAAACAATCAGTAGTAAATTTATCAGGTCAAATAATTTTATTAGCAATTTGGTTAATAGAATTATTAATAACTGAATTAAGTGTGATACGTGATCGTCTTAAAATGATAACAAAATTGGATCATAATAATGATGATGTTGATGAAATAGTTAATGATAATGATCAAAATAACAAGATGATTAGTGATGGAAATGTTACCGTTAACAATAATGATAATTGTGATGATAAAGTTAAATTAACATTACAAAATCGTCTAGCTTCTGTACGACGTGAATTTCGTACAATCATAGTATTACCTGAAGTATTGGTAAGTAAATAGTATACTTTGAGATATAATCTAAATTGTTATATGATTGAGATCACGAACTGGTTGATGTTAGATCACCATTGAAAACCTCGCTCGAATCCTGCGAGCGAGATCATGGATGCGCACTGTTAAGGAGTCCCACAATAGGACGAAACAACCGTCCAGTGCTTCCAGGTTTTCAATGGTGGTCTAACATCAATCGGTTCATCATCTCAGTCAAAAACTTAATAATCTTCACAACCCTATACTGATAAACTGTTATATATCATTGTCAAATTATTTTCTAAATCTTCATTTTGAAAAGATAGTTTATGTTATGAATTAATTATCTTTAGATATTGAAAATCAGACAGCATTCAACATTGATCTATAACTAGTATGAGATTTCTCATCGTTATGTATCTATGATGCTGCCCAGAGAGTGTACGTCGTTACATTTAGACCATTCAGTTATCATCCAATAGTTTTCATTTCAAATTTGTTATATGCTTAATTTTTTTCAATGGCTCATTCTTATAAATCAGTTGTACGATTCTATGTATCAGCGGATATATTAGTCATAAATGTAGAATTAATTTTTGACATTTATCTTATACCATTCCGTTGATCATCTTCTGTTTTGTGTCTATTGAACTTTACTGGAACATATCTGTATTCACAAGTAAGAATTTTCATAAACTTAGTTATTTATGGTGGGTAAAGCTTATTCGGGTGTTATACCGGTAACTACATATGTTATTTAATGAACTTCTAATTATTAAACCTGAAGTAGTTTTAGAATAATCGTCTATCCATAGTTCCTGTTACATAATAGCTTTGTAAAGTGATTGATAAACATAAATAATGTACCGACAAAAATACTCACTCCTCTCCTAATAACACGCTAATCTAATCTCCAACAAATGAACTCTGAGGTGTTCTTAAAAGCCCTCCAATATGTATTCGAAATTCGATATTGTATCCAACTTTACCTAAGCTGTTTTAAAGTTTCAAAATACCTTATTCACCTTTCTTTATGCTAATGCCATAATCATTCCCATATTACATCAATCATTTGCAAATATCTCAATTACACAAGTGGACCGTGGTCTCCCGAGTTGGTCAGTGATAACATCTCAGATTGTGAAACCATGTAACTCGGCTTTGAGCTCTGTATAAAGCATTAGTTCCCTAAAAATTGTAGGTACGCTTTGCTGTTGACAAGTACTGACTAGTACGAGACCTAGGTCAAGCAAAGTTTTCATTCAAATACCTGAAATTATGAATGCTTATCGCAGAGGCTCCCGAATTCCCTGGCATGGTTGAGGGTGGGAAAAGTCAGTTCTCCCTCTCAAAATACACTCACATGGACACGCGTATACAGCAATTGTCAGAGAAGTCCTACTCACTGCCTTCTCTCGACCGAGGTGTTGTTTACGAAATTGATAGGAAAAAAAGAATGTCCGACTCTCTCTCTTCTATTCCTAGTCATGTTGGTTGGGGTCCGCGCGGTTATCGTATCCAATGGTTGGAGGCTCTGGGTGAAATGGCTCAAAATCGATCACAATGGCGTAGGTATATACACTCTTTGTCTTCACCTAAACCGTGAGATTGAAATTACTTTAAGCTTTTCTTTCTACCAACTAATTGTTTATTCCTGTATTATATCCTTATATACAATCTTTCTTTTATATATTACTATTATTGAAGTAACTAATTCTATGAATTTGATGTTGATTTTTTTGTGTTAATGAGATGTGGAAACTTGGGTCGATGCATATATGTGCCTGGTCCTACGTTGTAACTGACTAACCAGGATGATGGATATAGAGGATCCACATAGGAGAGTTGAAAAACTACAATTCCAAACTAATGGTGCACACAGGCTCCATGATCCTAACGGAACAAATGACATATCAACCTATTGTTGATCATCGAATACTATGAGACTGCATCTTCTAACGTTGCTCCACTGCCTTATGGATTAGACCTCTAGATGAAAAGCTCTGTTAGTGGCCGTTTAAGATAACCACTTGCTTTGATTTGGTCACCTGAGTAGTGTCTCAGCGCTCACAAAAATCGAATGATTTATGTCGTGTCTGTATAGTTGGTGCCTCCTTATACCAATGTTTATGTGCTTAAATAAATAAATAACCTCAGAACAGTTTAAGTGTACATTCCTTTTATACTTGGAAACTAAGAATTATGACTGTATTTTGTTTTGTCATAGATATATGAAAATAAATGTATTTCTATAATTTTCTATACATCTCTATTAGAATTTTTTACCAGAAGCAAAATCTTTGATATACGATTTACTAGAAAATCATGGTGAAAATGATGAACTTGTTTATTTTATGGAATTAATGAAAGGTAAATCATTATCATCCATAGTTCTGTTTTGTTAAATCATTCAATATTCAATGAATAATTTAAGTAATACAATAAGAAATTGAAATTTTTTGATAAATCTTCTAACTACACACTTGAATCTATCTATTTCTTAAGATTTTTTAATAACCTCAGGCTAGTTCTACACGACAAATTGAACACGAGAGAAAAGACGCGTAATAATATGGAGAGAACTCTTTACTTCAAAGTTAATTTATGTACAGAAAACCTTAGGTGTTTATAGCATTTTTAGACGACCTTTCGCTTCTGGGATGTTCTGGAACCCTACCACGCACGGTAGCAGTATAGGTAGGTAATCATCCAATGAGGACTGTGTCTCGCGATTCTTTAGTTTCTAGATGTTCCTGAGAGAGTTCTACTGAATGGTGATTAGATAAAATGCTTCCCAGTGTTTTCAGGGCCCTTTTGGGTTTTTTTTTGAAGAGTTTTTTGGGTCCTCTAACAATTTCCAACTGTACTGTTTTTGTGTTACTGTTACTAGTGATATCTTCAGGTAGGTTCAATAGGTGTAGGAGAAGCCAGTATTCAGTTAGAATTTGAATAATTTAATCTCTAAATCACTGGTAATCTTAATCTTATCTAAGCATGTGTAATGGTCTGTAAACCTAATTCTTAGACGTATAAAAATGGTTTCAATTTAATGACGTGGTTTCTAATCAAGTATTGTGCTATATTATCTATAATTACTCTTATGTAAACTTATTATCATCAACTGATTATTAGTTATTTGTTAGATTTTTAGATTTTTCTGGATGTTTCTGAATTGTGTTGTTAAGTGTAATGAAATAAAATAACCATACTGAGGTTCACTATGTAATATTGCATATTTTGGGTCGATTTTTCGACTCCACCCCCCTCAACTTTTAATAGATAAGGTTAACTTGAAGTTTATTTGTACTAAGAAATAATCATAATTACGCATTTTAAATGAAGTTCTATCAGAAGATATTCAACAATCATTCAACTCTTAAATAATGCTCGTGAACAGCAAACTCGGGAAAAGCAGGATGAATTCAGACTTGGACGTTTATGTATCGATCAACTAATTACTGCTCGTTAGGTTCTAAAACATTATCATAATTACAAGCTCGCAAATAGTATAATATTTCCCTACCATAGAGCGGTATTCGACTCTGTTGACCGAGAGGTTTTGTGGTAGTTTATCATTGAAAAGCGTACCAAAAAAAAGAACATAAATAATGTGTAGGCTTTTTGTGACTTTTTAATCTGACTCCAATTACATCGTATGATGTTACCAAAATATGCATCCTGGTTATTCCTGTATGTAATTATCAACCTGAGTCGCGTTAATGAATAACTTAATAAAATAAGTCAAATACGAGAATGAATTTTGAAAAGGTGTATTTTGTACGGTCATTGTTCCAGACAGACAATCAGAGAGACTAGGTGGAGAAAGCGAAAGGGAGAGAGATTCCAACTCATTTTGTTAAGGTGAGATTTAGTATTTATAGTCAGACAAAAGTAAGTTACACACATGTGATGGGTATCATAAGCAATGCACATACATACACTCATATAAAAACAGTCAAGGTTAGTAAGCGAATAATTGACAAGGTCAAAATGTGAAGAAAAAGAAGAATGAATGAATAAACTCGTCTATCCGGAATCTAGAATAACCTATGTGGGATTGACTTAGTACTAAGCTCTACAGACTAGTCCTTCAAACATTAGTGTACGAGTCAGAGCTTATGAATTGCCAACCTCTTGTGGTGTCTATCAGTGTTGCCCACCACCCTGTTTTTATATAACTACATCATAGATGTCCTCTTGAAAATTGAAATTTCACCTAACTTTGTAGGGATAGATTTCTTACCAGGACGTATACTGATCAACTGAGATAACACGGACGATACAGTCCTATTTGTTGAAGATGTTGATATGGTGGAGTCTTCTAAACACTAATTAAATATACAACCGTCTTCAAAGTATTTCTTGAGTGTTGTGGAATGGTTAAGCGATAAATGCTAACGTTGAGACATAAGCCACTAGACAAGGTTGGCAAACCGTTCTATGATGCGAATCCTCATTATTTGAGGTGGTGGGATATGTGTTGTGTCTGTCCAACTACCACGATGTTAGCTGTTGTAGGAATGGGTTAAAGAAAGCTAGAACCGGTCAGATTGAGACAATGACATTAGCCCATGAATTTTTTCATTGTGGGATTGAGCGGTGTAAGTATATGTAGACTACTTGGATGAGGTCTACACGGTTATTTCAATCAGTGGTTGAAAGCGTTTAGTGATATGGTCCAGAATCAGTTACAATAATGCAGATGAATTCACTTGTCTTCCCCTAGATCTTGACTTTTAGTATTCCTCCCTACTTACCACCTCATCAAAATATATTTCTGTTGTTTGTTCTAAATCAATATCACTACCGTGATTACTTCAACTCTTTCATCTTATTAATTTCATTTCCTTGTACCAAGGTGAAATAACAACCTGATCTAACACACATTATTCCAATGCTTTATGTTGATTATGACGGTATAAGTGATATCAATCTTCCTGGTACACCTTTAGGTCATTGTAGTCATAGGGACATATGTACATCGGATCATTTAACTACCGAGTGTTTTGGTTCTGATTGTTATTCTTATTTGCGGAAAGTATGTTCACAAACCTTCAGGTATTGAACTACTTGTCATGATTATCTACCGATTACCGTGACCTTTGATGTTAGTTGTCACAAGTAGATGGTTGAAAATAAGGTAAGGGCCTACTTAGGTCTTTAGTGCAGTCGAAGTTAATTCCTCACTTTTTCTTTTACTATAGTGGATCTTCTCCCTTTTTATATTTCTGTGAGGTATATTCAAATGCATCTCATATCTTTACATTGACAATGACTAACTAGAACTATTTCTCGTTATTATAAAATACATAGAATTAAATTTCACCATACTGATACGGTTATTTGCCGGTAATTGTTTTCAATTGTTTAGCTGTATATTTGTTCACTTATTCAGACTTCTTTCTTTTGTCTTTTTTTTCTCATTTATCTCATTTTGAAAAATTAGATTATCCTCGTTTAGTGGATCATTATATGCGTCAATGTATGTACAGTGATGCCTTAAAAATATTAGCCACCTATCCAAACTGTTTAAATCGACTATATGATCATGCATCATGCTTAGCTAGTAAATGTCCAGAAGAATTTGTCAATGTATGTCTTCGTTTAAACAATAAATTGGATACTAATCGGTTAGTAATTAAAACTTTCTTATTCTTTTTTTAAAAAATGTACGTTTTGACGTAAAATTAGTTTAATTTTCAGTATTTTCGACCAGTGATTATATGGTATAGCTTGTTCTAAATATCAAATTCATTTACTTGGCCTGTATACTCTAAGTTTGAGGTTGCTCATACTGAAGTAGGTTCAGTGGGATTCAAACTTACAAATAAGTAGTTGAAAGTCGAACAGCTTGAATGTTATAAGCCACCGTTCTCTATCTGGTAATATGATTCACGTTGGCCACGCGTATATAGCCTCTGCCTTCTCGCGTCCAAGTGTTGTTTACGAAATTGAGAGGACGAAAAGCGAATGTCCGGCGCTTTAACCGGGTTGGTGGACATGGAGAGTCCACCTAGGGGAGTTGAAAAACCCTGATTGCAAACCAATGGTGTACATGGACTCCAGTATCTTTAAGGAACAAATGGCGTATGAAACACTTACTGGTCACCGGCTACCATGGGACTGCATCTCCTTACGTTGCCCCACTACCTTGTGGATCACACCTTTAGGTTGAAGGCTCCTAAGAAAACCACCTGCTTTGATTTGAACACCCAGGCAGTATCACAGCCCTCAAAAATATCGAATGAGATTTGTGTGGTGCATATGTGTTTGGCGCCTCCTTGTGCCAATATTTATATGTTCAAACAAATAATAATAATGATTCACGTTTGAACTATTATACTGTTTTTATTGTTGTGATTGTCTAGCCAACAAGAGTAACTTAAAACACAGCATAGTGTTACTCAGTTTCATGTTGTTACAGGGGCAGTGAATTAGAATGAGAAAGATGCGGTGTCCTGCTTGTACATTTGATTTCAACAGCTTTGTGGTAGTATCACAACACATCTCACACAAAACAGTGCAGTATAAAGCTGATAGATCTTCTAACTGAACACTTGCACCGGTTTCCTAAGCTCTTTTAATAGCCCCAGGCTAGTTCTACACGACAAATTGAACACTAGAGAAAAGACGCGTAATAATATGGAAAGAACTCTTTACTCCAAGGTTAATTTATGTACAGAAAATCTTGTGTGTTTATAGCATTTTTAGATGAGGTTTTGCTTATGGAAAGTTCTGGAACCCTACCACGCACGGTAGCAGTATAGGTAGGTAATCATCCAATGAGGAATGTCTCGCGATTCTTTAGTTTCTAGATGTTCCTGAGAGAGTTCTACTGAATGGTGATTGGATAAAATGTTTCCCAGCGTTTTCAGGACCCTTTTGGGTTAGCAAGTCAGCGTCTAGGCGTTTATTTACAAGATTTATCATAGGATATATATTTCCAGTGAATTACAAACTATTTTAGAATAGAATAACTTCATGTCCAAATGAGGACCCTATGAACTAAGTGTTGCGATGGCTTCCAGAAGTCTGACAAAGCCTCCAGAGTTTCTGAAGAAACCCAAGATATTCCGTCCGATCAGAACCTAATGGAACCTTCTAGACTGTCAACATGACATTCTCTGATTGCACAATTGTATACCTTCTCTTTTTGTGGATTGGCTTGATTATGATGATGTTATTCCCAATACTAAAAACTATAAATACACCTATTTTCCATTCATTCTTGACACTTACCCACTAATCGCTTCCTTTGCTTTTTCTATTTTTCGATTTGCAACTGTGCGTTCTACACGTTCGAGTGCCAATTGTCGTACAGCGTGTTCTGCCGTAATCAAGCAGACGCTATAACACTAAGATAATTTGTTCACTAGAAATTTTTTTCTTAGTGTAAACAATTTTACTAAACTTGACTTTTTGTATCAGCTATCTGTAGCATTATAAGATTTTTATTCACTAAAGTGTTTGTTTAATGATAATAACTCGAGAAGCTGAACAGATAGACTTCATAACTCCGTTAATTTCTTTTCTGGTGGTAATCTGTTAATTCACTGTTGAGAGTCCTGGTTTGTGACTCCTCAGCAGTGCGTATCCATGGTCCTGCCCGCGGGATTCAAATCCAAGACCTTCGTTCTCGCGTGCGAACGCTCAACGTCTAGATGCCTTGTGTTTATTTCGAACTTTTGCTGAGAATAGTATAAACATCATGCTTGTTATATAAGTGATTAGTTACCCGAATTCGGTAGCGAAATGTACTAGGTTGGAGTTTCAATGTAAATAATAATACTTTAGGCGTAGGTACATCCATATGACTAGTCTCAAATAAGACCAAATTCACATCCTGGTTTTCACGGCTAGTCTAAAGCCATTTATTTTTTCTTTGATCATACCAAACATAAAATCACCAATTTAAACATTTTAACTAAAAGTATAGTTAACAATTGAACTTAGTTGAATGTCTTCTTCAATCTATGGATGATTGTTTCAAAACATCTGAATTCATTAGTGTTTAACCGTATACTGGATTAGAAGATCATTGATCATACTTCTCAACAACTTAAGTATTATGAACAGACGAACTTGGTTCCAATATTTCTTTATCCTCTCTTTTTTCCTGTTGTTTTAAAAATATATCTTACTTATTAAAAGTTTTTGACATGATGTAACTAAAGGTGTCATAAAACTGAGACATATTGGTTGAAAGTTAAGTCATTTAGCTAGTCATAAGTAACTTTGAATCTGACACAAATGTGTATTGGTTCAAAATGTCACATTATTTATGCTCAGCAAGTCATGAAACAAAATTGTAAACTTACAATCCAAATAAAGTTGAAAAGTGTTTACATTTAAATTGTTTCAATCCCAATTTCGAGTCATATCATCCAGTGCTATAGAGAGCCAAAAGTCAAAAATAACCTAAAGGTCAAGTGCATTTTGTTGGGGTCAATTCTCCAAGGATAGAGTGTTATATAAATCAATGAGTATTTGTGCATTTCATTCGGAAGCCAAATGCACTTTCATACTCACTCTTATGTTCTTGCTCAAGTAGTCGATTGGGGTGGTGGTGGTGGTTAGCACATAGCAAACTATGTACCAATATCAGATTTCGGATATCTCATGTCAAAACATCTAGCTTCTTCAATCGATGATCACAACTATAGTACAAACCCCACTTATCTATAGAGGTTATTTTAACAGTCAATCATTTTAACTAGCTGTTTAAAAGCGAATTCATTGAAGTATAATATTTTGAATATAAAACGTACTGGTTGGAAAACAAATAAACAAACTTCAATCTGTAATCGCCCAAAACCGTTACTCTATTATTACTTCTCTTGGTCAATTCTCATTCATCTTATTTTTACATAATTGTAACTTATTTGTCTCGTTTCTTCTTTTTCTTTCCCCTTCTTTCTTATTTCTTTATAAATAGACTTCTACCTTCAATTATGTTGTTACCAAATAATTATGCAATAAATTACTTAGAAGATACTATTGGAATATATACTAATAAAAATATATCAAATCAAGCTGTACATCATATGCTTATTTCATTATATGCTAATGAATATCATTTAAATCATAATGATGATAGATTAATGAAATATTTAGAAAAATTTAGTATCCAAGCAATTCATATAAGACGTTTAAAACAACAACATCACCAAAATATTGTCGATAATGGAGATTTATTCAATGATTATCAATTAATGAATATAGATTTAACTGAATTATCATTGTTAGAACATGATAATGATACAGTGAATGATTGTCCTACCGGTAATGTAATGAATAAACTAAAATGTTTAACAAATCAACATCAAGAACAAGATATCCAGTCATGTAAGTTAATACATTTTGTGTGATATGTTCTTTGGTGGACACGGAGAATTCACCTAGGGGAGTTGAAAAACCCTGATTCCAAACCAATTATGCACATGGACTCCAGTATCCTAAAGGAACGAATGGCGTATAAACCTATTGTTCGTCACCGGCTACCATGGGACTGCATCTCTTTACAATGCTCCACTGCCTTGTGGATCAGACCTTTAGGTCTAATGCTCCGGGTCTGGCTCCCTAAGGGAACCACCTGCTTCGTTTTGGATACTCAGCAGTATCCTAACCCTCACATAAATCGAATGTTTTATGTGGCGTATATCTATTTGCTGCCTCCTTGGACCAATGTTTCTGTGTTTAAATAAATAAGTAAAAATTTTTGATTATCTACACGTTGATGTTCATAATAGTGGACACTGTTGATGACTCTTCTCGAGGAAGCGTAAAAACATTTGACTTTGAATTCATTTTTGTATTGGTTGTTTGAATAAAAGACTGATCAGTTGCAATCGGAAACATCATTAGGAAGAGTTAAACAAACAATACAAAAACGAATTAAAACTTCACTCGATTGTATAAGCTAGTGGTTACCTAAACTCAGTAGCTAAGTGGATAACGTGATAGTGTTTGTAGCGAACGGTACTAGGTTCGAGTCTCAGAGTAAACATTAACATTCGATTGACCAGTTCAAAATAGAATGAAACACGCGTTGTGAATTCCACTGCTATCCATCATCCATCTCTGCTTATAATACTCGACCTTGAAGTTATTCAACTAGCATTTTATGGAATGCATATCCCTATAAATGTAGAATATTTTACTCCCAATAAATTCTGTTGTGTCTTGTACATGAGAACATGGACAACAACATTTTACTTTCTTCCTAGTTTTCACAGATCCACTTTTGAGCCCTAAACAGAAAATAAGAGATAAGAAATATGCAAAGGTCATTACTTACTTAGTTAATTTATGCACAGAAAAGAAGTGTATTTATAGGTTAAGTGAATTTGAGCTTCTATAGGCCTCTTCTAAACATATTAAAACTAAGGATAACATCCGTCGTTACCCAATCAGAAAATGACAACACTGTTGGTTATTTTCTAGAATCCTTTTGGAAGCTTCGTATGAATACTGTGTTAGTCGAACGATTCTCAGAATTTTCCTAGCTTCTGGAAAAATGTTTCAAACACTTAATGGGAAAATCTAACAGAATCCCTCACCTTACATTCTACAAGCATGGCCATCAGGCAAATCAAGAGTCGCACAGCAGCAGGACCGGACAACATTCCAGCAGAGGCACTAAGAGCAGACGTAGCGGCAACTGCAAGGATACTCCACATTCTCTTCAATAAGATTTGGGATGAGGAACAAGTACCAAAAAACTGGAAAGAAGGACTTCTGATCAAAATACCGAAGAAAGGCGATCTCAGCAACTGTGATAACTAAGGGGGCATCACTCTTCTCTCAATACCGGGAAAAGTCTTCAACAGGGTATTGATAAACAGGATGAAGGACTCCGTAGACGCCCAACTTCGTGACCAACAGGCAGGATTCCGTAAGGATAGATCGTGTACAGACCAAATCGCAACTCTACGGATCATTGTGGAACAATCAATTGAATGGAATTCATCATTCTACATCAACTTCATTGACTACGAAAAGTCATTTGATAGCGTGGACAGGACAACACTATGGAAACTTCTTCGACACTACGGCCTGCCCCAGAAGAAAGTCAATATCATACAGAGTTCATATGATGGACTACACTGCGAAATCGTGCACGGAGGACAGTTGACAAAGTCGTTCAAAGTGAAGACCGGTGTCAGGCAAGGTTGCTTACTCTCATCCTTTCTCTTTCTCCTGGTGATCGACTGGATCATGAAGACGTCAACGTCTGAAGGGAAGCGCGGGATACAATGTACATCTAAGATGCAGTTGGATGATCTAGACTTCGCAGATGATCTGGCCCTTCTATCCCAAACGCAACAACAGATACAGGAGAAGACGAACAGTGTGGCAGCAGCCTCAGCAGCAGTAGGTCTCAATATACACAAAGGGAAAAGCAGGATTCTCCGATACAACACAGAATGCACCAATCAAATCACAATTGACGGAGAAGATTTGGAAGATGTAGAAACCTTTACATATTTGGGCAGCATCATTGATGAACAGGGTTGATCTGATGCAGATGTGAAGGCGCGGGTCGGAAAAGCAAGAGCAGCATATTTACAACTGAGGAACATCTGGAACTCAAAACAACTGTCAACCAACACGAAGGTCGAGATTTTCAATGCAAATGCCAAGACAGTTCTACTGTATGGGGCAGAAACCTGGAGAACTACGAAAGCCATCATCCACAAGATACAGGTGTTTATATTAACAGTTGTCTACGCAAAATACTTCAGATTCGTTGGCCGGACACTATTAGCAACAGCCAACTGTGGGAAAGAACAAACCAGATTCCAGCGGAGGAAGAAATTAGGAAGAAGCGCTGGGAGTGGATAGGACACACATTGAGGAATGCACCCAACTGCGTCACAAGACAAGACCTCACATGGAATCCTCAAGGCGAAAGGAAAAGAGGAAGACCAAAGAACACATTACGCCGGGAAATGGAGATAGACATGAGAAAAATGAACAAGAATTGGATGGAATTAGAAAAGAAGGCTCAGGACAGAGTGGGTTAGAGAATGCCGGTCAGCGGTCTATGCTCCATTAGGAGTAACAGGCGTAAGTAATATTAAAGAATTAGATGGTTTGGAGTTAATCTCTAAAGTTGGATAGTATTTTTACTTATTTATCGAGTTCATTTTGACTTTCTTTTTTTTCTTCTGCATAGTGTTACCCTATGACCCTGGTTATGTGCTTCGTTTATGCAAAGAAGTTGATCATTTAAAAGGTGTACTTTATATACTACAATTATTGGATATGCATCAAGAAGCTTTACAATTAGCCATTGAATTGGTACGTTTTTATGAAATTATTATTATACTAATTTTCATTATAAAATTTGTTAAAATTAATATTCTATTACTAACATTATGGTTGATGCTACTTATGTTGATGGACATAGGTAGTATGTAATATCTATCAGAGTAGGACTGCCTGGAAGCAGAAGGCTAACAAGATCGGTTTGATGAAAATAGAATGGGGAATAGAAAGGAATTGTGAGTTTGAAGAATCATACAGAATGTAAACCATATTTGATGAAAGATTTTCAAATGAAGTATTTAATGTATAGTTCCCTAGATGTTCTGTAATTTTCCATTGAATCCATCTAAGTTCTCATTCATTACAGTTTTACTATTGTGATGTGTGCTACTAACAAATATAAGTAGTGTGTCAAGTATGGGAAGTCGAATTCTTACTGACAGATTATCTACATGAAAAGTAAAGAGAGGAAACAACTGGAAGCAATTAAAATAACAGCAGAAATGAAGGAACAATGAAGTTTGAAAAAGACAACTCAAAGAAGAAGTGCAAATGACATTGTTTACAAAATCGAGAGGATGAAAAGCGAATGTCTGACTCTTTAACCAGGTTAGTGAATATGAGGATCCAACTAAAAGAGTCGGAAAATCACAATTCAAAACCAATGGTCCACATAGGCTCCACGATCCTGAGGGAATAAATAACTTATCAACCTATTGTTGGTCACCAACTAAAATGGGACCGCATCTCCTAACTTTGCTCTACTGTCTTGTGAATTGGAACTCTAGGTGAAGTGCTCGAGGAGTGACCCATCTATGAAAACCACTTGCTTCAGTTTGAGCGCCTGGGCAATATTCCAGCCTCCACACAAATTGTATGATGAAGTGTGGCGCATAGATATTTGACACCTTCTTTTACCAGTTTTTATATGTTTAAATAAATAAATAAAATAAAGTAATCGCCATTTTTCCATAATTTTTCAAAATTTCTTGTTAGAATAATATTCCATTCGCTAAAGAAATTGCTCAAAGTGAATTCTTGAATTCTAATGTACGTCGTCAATTATGGATTCAATTAGGTAAGCAATGTGATATGTTGCATTATGCATCATCTTGGTTACTGTTTAAGTTGAGATTTCTTACAATGTTTTGTTTGTTCATTAAATGTATCGTATCTAGGCATGTTGAGATTCTTTCTCGTTCATTTAGTGGGTAAGTGTTGTGTACTAAATTGTCATTTTTACTAACGAATTTATTTCAAATGGTTGAAGTTATCTGAAACTGTCTGTCTTTTAATGTAGCGCATCCCGATATTATTAAAAATGAGACCACAGATTTGTTAAAAGTAACTGACAAATAACTAGTAGTACACTACACTTAATGATAATTGAGAAGTTTGTGAATTACATTAAGTCTATTTTAGTAGATCAAGTCTGATATGTGTATTCTATTTATCACAAATGAAGCTCAGTTAGGCTGCACATCTATTTCTCCTAAATTGTACAAACTCGTGACCTCACTTGTAATGCGATCCCCAATATTCAAGTCTCTGGATCAACACTTTACAACTAGAATGTCTGTATCACCGTCCAGTGGTAAATTCATAAATTCAATCAATTTATTATTCAGCATTTTGATCACTTACTGACACTAACGAAAACTGTTTTACTCGCTAAGTATCTGAACTGCACCAGTTACGATTTTCTACTGGAACCTTGAGATAATCATCATATAAGTTGTTAGTGAGGTGATTGTTGTAGTTTAGTTGAAGGGGTTTTGTTGAAATTATTGTATTGGTCTTAGCTAGACATTTTTGGACTAGAATATTCGGTTTTCGATTTTTTGTCATTAAATGAATAATGAATTGCAACATTATAGACAGACTCATTATGATTGCTAAAATTAGTAGCATATATGACGAGAGCATAAGTGCCATTTTTCACGGGAACATTTGTAAAAGAGATACTTGATTAAGTGATTCTGCGGTAAGTTTTCTCAACTATCTGTGCGATATATGTTACATCCGGACGAAGAATAAGTAAATAGTAACTGCTAGGATCAATTTATGGACTATTATTATATATATTCTTATTGTATAACGATTGAGTAACTACTTACTTACTTACGCCTGTTACTCCTAATGGAGCATAGACCGCTGACCGGCATTCTCTAACCCACTCTGTCCTGAGCCTTCTTTTCTAATTCCATCCAATTCTTGTTCATTTTTCTCATGTCTATCTCCATTTCCCGGCGTAATGTGTTCTTTGGTCTTCCTCTTTTCCTTTCGCCTTGAGGATTCCATGTGAGGTCTTGTCTTGTGACGCAGTTGGGTGCATTCCTCAATGTGTGTCCTATCCACTCCCAGCGCTTCTTCCTAATTTCTTCCTCCGCTGGAATCTGGTTTGTTCTTTCCCACAGTTGGCTGTTGCTAATAGTGTCCGGCCAACGAATCTGAAGTATTTTGCGTAGACAACTGTTAATATAAACACCTGTATCTTGTGGATGATGGCTTTCGTAGTTCTCCAGGTTTCTGCCCCATACAGTAGAACTGGTTAAAAAACGCTAACCAGATTAAGTAACTGTATTATATGTACATTTATATTCCATTATAAACTTTCATTTGACTTACTGACTACTACTATACTATTTACTATTCTTAAGTTACTCTCGATTTATTAGTTACAGTCTCTCATAATCACAGACACTTTTGGCCTCATCTAGCATAATTGTTATTTTATTTTTTATGGTATGATGCAGTCTGGTTTGTGTGTATATAAACCAAGTACATCTAAAATACAGGATTTATATAACAGAGGCTAATATTAGTGTTCTGAACCGAACTGGCTATTATCTCAGGGGACCAATCAGGACCTCAGAGTTGACTCTAGGCTGCTCGTATTTGTTTATACGTCATTGATCTGGTCAATAAATCGGTGTTCTAATTGGAGATTTTATCACATGATAATTAATGGGCATAAGAACATAAAAATATAGAAATGGTATTCAATTGAGACTTTGTAATTCGATCACTAATCTTAGGAAGTATCCACTTACAACAATACTACTTTTCAACAATATTAATTTTAAAATTTTTTTTTCTTATAATATACATCTGTCATCACCCATGTTGCCATATAGTATAATTTGTGTTTTGAGCTGTGAGTTGATGCTTTGGTATTGAACAATAAATAATATTGTAGTGTGTACTACTTATGTTGACAGATATAAGTAGGATGTAGCTCCGATCGATGGTAGAAGGCCTGTGAGCAAAAGATTGCAATGAAGAAATGACAGAAAAAAACAAAAAGTAATCAAAATCACAACAGGAATGAAGGAACGATAAAGTTTGTGAAAGACAAATGATGGGACATGTGCAAATAATGTAATAGGAAGATTCAAACAGGCAATACAAAAATGAATTAAAACTTCACCCCATTATACAAGCTAATGGTTATCTGGGCTCAGTAGCTAAAGGAATAACGCGATGGCGTTTGAAGCGAACGGTACTAGGTCCGAGTCTCAAATAGGACGAAACGCACGTCGTAGATTTCACTCCTAGTTATCATTCATCTCTGCTCAGTTAATGTTTAGTTTCCATTTTTTCACGAAGACACTCCGTAAAATGGCATTAATCAATAAATTGGTTGTCCCCACATGAGTTCTTCGATCACTACAATATTACCAGTGTTATAATAAATCTGTAATACATGGTAAATCTATGTAAACTCATTTATACAGTGTATACCCAGTTCTGTCTTCGTTATGAATCATAATCTTACAGTGAGTTCTACTTTTTCATATCAATTTAAAGATATTCTCAATGCTTCATCGTTTCGTCATAGCTAAATGTTTTACTAAACAGCGTACCATTGTTTTCGTATGTGTATATGAATAAGTTATGGATTTTTCTAAGAGACTAACTCTACAACGAATATTCTACTCCTTTTTTTGTTCATCTGAGATGTCGTTATTATTCTTCTCACTTTCAGCACAACATATTATTAGTACTGATGGAAGTATGCAAGAAGCTATCAATTTATTACGAGATTGCCCTCTATTGAAATTAGAGGATATTCTTCCATATTTTCATCAATTTGTTACCATTGATCAGTTTAAAGTAAGTTTTGTTCTAATATCCTCGTTTATATGTTGCTCCATTGACGCTACTCTCTCTCTCTCTCTCTCTCTCTCTCTATATATATATATATATATATATATATATATATATATATATATATATATATAAAGAAAAGTAATGGGACGTTACTTAAATCAATAAGCTTTGGCGCGTTCGAGTTGCATTTGGTACCATAATCCACAATTATAGACAATTAATAGTTCCAATGAGGTTGTTGTGACTTCAGTAATATAATCAGACGTAGAATGTAATGGAAATATGGTTACAGTCTATAAATGTAGATAATAGAACTTTTTAATTAATACAGTTTTATTTGTTTTAACACATAAATATTGGTACAAGGAGGCACCAAAGACATATGCGCCACACAAATCTCATTTGATATTTGTGAGGGCTGTGATACTGCCCGATCACCCAAACCGAAGCAGGTGGTTCTCTTAGGGGGCCACTTCCCGAACCTTCGACCTGAAAGTCTGATCCATGAGGCAGTGGAGCATCGTAAGGAGATGCAATCCCATGGTAGCCGGTGACCAACGATTGGTTCATACGCCATTTGTTCCTTAAGGATACTGGAGCCCATGTGCACCATTGATTTGGGATCCGGTTAAAGTGCCGGACATTCGCTTTTCGTCCTCTCATTTTCGTAAACAACACCCCCGCCACGAGAAGCCATTGAGTAGGACTTCCCTGGCAGAGGCTATATACGCGTGGTCATGTGAGAGCATTTCAAAGAGGGAGAGCGGACTCTCCCCACTCTCGGCCGTACCGTACCAGGGCATTTGGGGGCAATTAATGCAAACAGAGATCAGACAAGTATACTTCTATAAATAAAGAGTATTTACTTTGAAAGATATGACTGGTTTATGTAAAGTGATTTTTTATGACCTGGACGGACTAGTATACTTTGAGAATTCGAATAATGATTCAATAAGTATCAACCAATACACTAAATTAAGTGAATGAGAATGACATTATCATTGACAAAATCAACTGATCCGACACTATGTAGTCGATTCTAATGATAAATATTTTAATAAAGTATGTATTGGTTATTTTTCCATACGATTTAAATCTAATTCATTTCAGTCTACACCCAGTCACGTTGGATACTATTTACTGACCAAACGGTACACTGAATAATTTAGCTAAAATGAAATGATGTTATAGTATATTACTATAAGTAGTCACTTGTTTTAAAGGCCAACAATGATGTTTTTGTAGCTTATTATGAATTATTCATACAGCATGATATTTGTACCTCGTTTGTACAAAATGTCTTATACCATACTGAAAAATGACATGTTGCATCTTATACCAGTCTATCGACCAAAAGACGAGTTTACACACTAGTACACTTTGTTCTTCTTTATGGGTATGAATTATTACTTCCATAAATAGAAAATATTCGTAGATTATTAAGATTCTATAATAGGTGTCTTAAAAATATTCCTCTTATATGTCGGGTACACTGAGTGAGCAAGGTTCAGGTTAAATGGACTGTACGATTTAAAGAAGATAAGTCGGTTGATGAGAGCAAATTGTCATCAACTGAGGGAGTTGACGCATACATTTAGTATCCCCAAACACCGCCTACCTAGACGTAAGTCGTTGGCTAGTGTAGAAACAGGTTGGAAGAAATCTAGGAGCTACCAAACCAAAACACAAAGTCAGTCCGAGAATTCCTACAATGTTTAAATGAACTAGGTAGGTAGGTCCAAACCATTTGGTTAGGGTCCGCGCAATGATTATAACCAATGGTTGTAAATGTTAGGTGACATGACTCAGAATCAATCGAATTCGTACAGATACCGTTACTCTTTGTTTTCCCTCAGATTTTCAGTTTTCAATTATTTTTGGTCTGAAAATTTTATCTAACTGAGCTTGTATGTTGTGGTAACGCTGAACGATGCACATATGTGTTAGGTTCTATGCTGTTTATGACTGATTGACTAGCTGCAAATTTTAAAGCCACACAAAATGTTATTGACAAAATGTAACTGAAAGTAAATGGGGATGAAAAATTAATGTAACCGATTTTTTAAGTACACAATTTATGTACTAACCTTTTAATCAAAGCTTAACTTGAGTGAGGATTAGTGGTACTGTCAGACTACTCAGAGCAAACTAGACGAGGCAGTGAGAACCTGGTGACTTACTGGTTGAAAGTCGTGTTTTAACTGTTAAGCCTATCACTTCAGTATCACAAAAAAGAATCTAAGATTAACTTTATAGTTTTAACATTAAAAACAATAGTTTTCCACATTTTTTAAAATTTAGGATACAAAAGTTTACTTATGTGAGCTGAACAGGTGTAGAAAGTAATCCGTAAACAAATGTGATACGCATGTAAAGTTCACAATTATAAAGCTATTTACACAAGAAATCACGATGTTGCACAATACCACAAAAAGTCAGTCACCAGATCTATAGAATAACCAGGAACTAGAGAAAAGTCCAGCACTGACAGCTATACATGGGTAGATAAAAAAAATTACTTCTCACTAAGCAGTGTAATGAACAATTCAACGTTACTGAGTTATGCAAGCGTATTCAATTAAACTCAATTAAATCAATAAAAGTCATATAACACTTCCCGATAGGTGAAGTGATCAATATATTTTGAGTACTGAATAGCACTAGGTCCAACTCATTAATTTTTTTTCACTGAATGGTTACAAGTCAAAAGTTTACATTGCAACCACCATTGAAGTTTACTACTTAAATATATAATGAAGATGACTGCGAAGCTAATGACTGTTTTTTAGTGCTTAGAACAAAATATTTAATAGTTTATCGAGAAATCTAAGATAACTATGGACTTATTATACCGACTTACAACTGTTTTGCTTCTCACACATAATTCTCTCTCTACTTATGCTGCTATTACGTCTACTACTCTGAAATTCGACTTGACGATTCCCTTCTCATTATGCTTAGGTTGTATGGAGACTTGGACAGAACCACATATATGCATGCATTTGGTGTTAGTCGACATTTAATTTTACGATTTGTTAATTCTTGCATATTACGTATTATCCTTTATTGTCTCCATCATTCTGTCCCGGGCTTTTGTGGAGGGACTGTGATGTATTGCAGAGAGTGCTGAAGGATGTGTGGTGAATCTTGTAAGGTCATTATAAATATAGTTGGGGATAGACATTTAAAATGTTGCAAACTGTTGGTGCGTGTCATCATATCAGATACTAACTATACACTTCATTCACATCTTTCTCCATGTATATCTTCTATCAGAACAAGACGTCAATACATTAGAATCCATGCACACAATGAAAAGTACAAAAAGCTTTACAATACCTTATTTGGCAAATATAGTCTTGACGAACAGGTTGTTGGAGCTAACTTAGCCAATAGCTTGTATTCTTAAACATGCTTCTACTTAAACAGTTGTACAGATCCAAATCTTCTTTTATAAAAAGACATTTCATTTACTTCCAGTTATTGTGTTTGCTTAATCAATGTTTATTTGTATGGAGTTATCGGTTTTCCTTTCTTCTTTGTTTCGTAAAATAAATTTCAAATACTTTATTTATTTGTTTCACCACAAAATCATTGGTACGAAGAGATACCAAATATTCATGAGCCACACTGTATCATTCGATTTATGTTAGGGATGGAATACTGCCCGTTCTCACGAACCGAAGCAAGTAGTTTTCATAAATGGGCATTTCATCTAGAGGTTCAATTCACATGACAGTAGAGCAAAATTATGAGATACAATCTCGTGGCAGTCGGTGACCAACAATAGATTGATATGTTATTTGTTCCCTCAGGATCCTGGAACTCATGTTGACCATTTGTTTGGAATCAGGGTTTTCCAACTCCTTTAGGCGACTCTACGTGTCCACCATACTGGTTAAAGCGTCAAATATTCGCTTTTCGTCCTCTCAATTTTGTAAACAACACTCCTGCCACGATAAGGCAGTGAATAAGACTTCTATGATAGTCGCTGTATAAGTGTGGCCGTTTGAGAGAATTCTGGGAGGGAGAGCTGTCTCTCCCCACCCTCGTTTGTAACAGGGCATTTGAGGGCTGAGATTCTTATATTGTACCGAAAATATAATATTGAATAAAGCCATTAATAATAATAGCATTTTGCGATACATTTGACTGACTTATTATTACATGGACATCCTATTAATTCAACTATTTCATCTTAAACGTACATTCTATGCACATTCTCTGATTTATTTATTGTTCATGTATTTATCTTAGTATTTTTTTTTATATTTACAATAAATAGGACGTGATCTGTTCATCACTGGATTCGTATAATGAACGGATTGATAATGTGAAAAACGAAATACAAAGTACGATGAAAACTATTGATGAATTACGTACACAGTCGAATAATCTACGATATAGGTAAGCTTCTATCGTTTCTGGATCTTTTTTCTCGCTGTATATATATACATTTATATGTATTGGCCATGAAGTATATCATCAAATTAAGAACTGTTATATGCAGTATATACCATTTGCACGTTTATTTAAACACAAACATTAGTACAAAGGAGCAAGAAAATGTATATGGGCCACATTAATCATTGAATTAGTCTATGGGGTAGGATACTTCTCGAGTGACCAAATCGAAGCAGTTGATTTCCTAAGAGGGTCAATTCCTGAGCTTTCAACCTTAAGGTTCAATCTAGGTAGCTGCATAAGTGCTGGTGGTGGCGTGAGTGATGAGATCAATGCACGTATAGTGAAAGCCAGAGCGGCTTATGCAAACCAAGATGTAGATGGTCGGATCTCCAACGCGTCGGTGAGAGCAGTTCTGTTCTATGCTTGCGAAACGTGGCCTCTCCGAGTATGAAAGAAAGCTGTAGAGGACTGGCTTGTGTTGGTTCTTCACGACTTCCTGGCTGATGTCCGAGAGATGGTGCAACACAGGGGCTAGAGACGTTATCAGATATGGCTGAGAATAGAAGGCAGTGGGGATCCTGCTATAACCTTCTTTTACTTTCTTCATAAAAAAAGTGGTTGTATCTTTCTTAAGTGAGCGATTATTTCTGATTGTACCTTTCCGTTCCCCCATTATTACCACTAATATTATTACACTACCTTACACCAATCTCTTCCTTATTGTTCTTTTCTTTTTAATCTCCGTACTTTTTTTTCTTTTTCCTTCTCTTTAAATTCTCGTTGTTTTGTGTGGCACATATATGTTTGGCGCACACTTGTACCAATATGTATGTGTTCAAATAAATAAATAAATAATAAATACACAAACTTCGGGTAGAAGTGAAGTGTTTAGCTTAATTGTGTTACTTTAATCGATGATCGATTCACTCCATACATAAGTTATTTATTATGAACTTTTACCTCCTAATCTCCTTTTTCCATATTTCTATCTTGCCACACACACTCATACTCTTAATTCCTCATGGATCATTCTTAACGGATATCATGTTTATCTCCAAAGAGTTTGTTTTATTATATGCTCACACTATTTTATGATTATTTTTGCCAGTACTGTATTATTATTATTATTATTATTATTATTATTATTATTATTATTATTATTATTATTATCTCACACCATATCTGTTACACATTATATTCACATGTATGATCTTGTTCTATTGATAATACATCAATATCTTCCAAAACCTTTCCATGACCTTTAAATAATACAACAAATTTATAAATGACACCATTTAGACGTGATTAGTTTACAATCGAATGAACCATGTTTTCTGGAAGAAATTGAAAGAAACCTAATTGAAAAAGAAAACAATACTATTTAAGTAAACATATGAGTTAAACATTCTGTAGTAAATCATGAATAAAATACTCTGTCAATCAATTGTTGGTTTTATCTACTGTTCTCACAATTACATAATCACAAATTATCCTTACATGTCACAATGTACATTGTTTATATGTACACAATTTATTCACTGAACTATTTGAAAGAATATATAAGATCTTTCCAGTTAAACATATATTATGTCCGAATACTCTTATCATTAGTGACTTATTCAGTTAAACATATATACATTGGTACGTGGAGGCACCAAATACATATGCGACACACTTCGTCATTCGATTTAAGTGAGGGCTGGAACGCTCTCCGGATGCCCAAACAGAAACAAGTGGTTTCCTTAGGGGACCACATTTTGAAACCCTTGACCTAGAGATTTAATCCACAACGCAGTAGAACGTCGTCAGGAGATGCAGTCCTGTGGTAGTCGGTGACCAACAGTAGGTTCATACTCTTTTTGTTCCCTCAGGGTCCTGGAACCCATATGCACCATTAGTTTGGAATTGTGACTTTCCAACTCTGCTGTTTGTGTCTGCTTTATCCACCAGCCCGGTTAAAGTGTCAGATATTCACTTTTCATCCTCTTAATTTCGTAAATATCATCCCTATCACGAGAAGGTAGTGAGTATGACTTCCGTGGCAGTGGCTGTATACGTGTGACCATGTGAGAGCATTTGGAGAGGGAGAGATGTCTCTCCCCACCCTCGACCGTACCAGTGCATGTGTGGGCTATTGGTGATAGATTTGATGATAAAAGTTTAACTGATTATTTGAGATATTGGAAATAAATCAAGCTATTCAGTTTATTTTCAAAGCTATACAATCACTGTAGTAAAAATAATACCGAATTCCTTTGAACATAATATGTTATATTTTTGCAGTTAAAATCTGATAGCACTAGACCGTCGTTTCATCTTGGAATGAAACTCATAGGCAATTAAACATCTCGAATTCTCTCTGCTGTTGAATCTTATACTAGGACGAAACTGTCGTCCTGTGCTCGCAGATCTTCAGTGGTTTCCTAGTTAAGACGAGATGATGATTTCATTTGTAAAAAAATACTAAACTCTTCACCAATCCCTCATGCTAATTATATCATAGTCAAAATTAGTTCAGAATAACTATGAATATAATGAGAAGAAGAACTTCATGTGAATAATGATTGTGCCACTCAGTATGGAGTATAATAGAAACAGTTTTGTAATATACAACTTTATATACATAAAAGTGAAGTGGTCAAATTTTGGATCATAGTAAACAAAGATATTTCACATTCAATATTGTAAAATATATTTTCTTTCATTTATATACACCTTTAAACAATGTATTGTATGTATTGACATGTATCATAGAGTTAACATAATTGTATTTTAAACAATATTAATTTCTTATTATGAGTTCATTCATTGTTTATACCCTTTTTTATTGTTGACATTAATTTGTATTTTGTTGTACTATGTGTACAATGTGTTGCATGCAATTACACTTAGGTATTAACCTTGGTTACAGTACTTGAATAACACATGAATGGTACATTTTAATTACAAGTATCAATTTCTATATTTGTTTTGTTCATTGTTTTAATAATAATGTTTTCTTTCTATTTCATAAAGTCAGTCCTAAAATAATTTGACTATGCTTGAGCATCTAGGCTACCTGTTCCTGCCATCTAGATATTTCAACAAGTTATCTATTTTTGTTTGTTTTAATATATCATTATGTTTATTAATTGCATAACCTATCCTGATGCATTTCTGAAAAGTGTACAACCTTTCGTTGTCAAAGTTACAGAAAGCTCAATAAGAAATAATGTGGTTGCTTGTAATATACAACGAAAAGAATGTACATTATTCAGATGTTCATTGACTGGACTGCTAACGTCTAACTGGCGATCACTCAATATTTATCGTCAGGATCGACCAAGAAGAAAGAAACAGAAACTTGTTGAAATACTTTGTGCTGAGAATTCTATATTGTACCAAAAATATAATATTGAATAAAGCTTATAATAATAAATAATAAACTAATCTAATAATGTATAAGATCATGAACTGATCAATGTTAAATTAGCATAAAAATGAAATGATCGTCTTGTACACTTCCAAGTTTTCAATGATTATCTAATATTGATCGGTTCATGATTTCAATAATGAAAAAAGAAATCAATAATCTTCACGACGTCCTTATTACTGATCATTACGTTAATCTATTCATATTTATGATTAAATAAGCTTCATATTAACTTTGATACGTAAATTAAATTGATTTATTTATTATAAGTTTTAATTATGTTGCTTGTAGAGAAAAAAAGAAATTGAATAGTTATTCACTAACTATCAGGTTATAGAATAAAAATCCTCTTTTATTATTATTATTATTATTATTATTATTATTATTATTAGTGGCTTTATTCAGTGTTATATATTTAGTACAATATGGAATTCTCAGCATCAAGTGGTCGCCAGTTAGATGTTAACAGTTCAACAATAGATATCTGACTAATGTATATTGCCTAGCAACGACGATGTCTCTGATTGGGCTCTTCTGTAACATGTACAGTGAAATGTCAGAAACTTTTCATAAACGCTTCGAAATGGGTTATGAGACTAATAAGCATGATATTGTGTTAGAACAAACAAAAAAGAGATAACTTGTTAAAATATCCAGATGGCAGGAATAGGTAGCTTAGATATTCAAGCAGGTCACCTTGGTAATAGACTGAATATTCAGATATGTATTATGTTTTGATTCTGTTTGTTAAAACATTTAGGTAATATCAGATGAGGTTTACCCGTCATTGGATTTCACGCAAAAACTCAAAACATGTTTCTTCGATTTTTGATTAACTCATCTTTATATTAATTTTTTACCACTCAAACTTGTGTCGTGTGGCGCTACATTTCTTATCCTATAAATACTTAGTCCATAATATTCAATCCTACTGAATTCTTTTTCAAAATCATTACATACTCAGTAATTGAAGAGTTTGTCTTTAAGTGTAAATACATTTAAAGAGATTAACTTTTCCTCATGACAGTTAGCACATAGTTAAGCGTACTTTCAATATTTTGTTTTTTTAAACAACTGTGTCAATATACATATATTCCTTCTTTGGACCAGTAATATTTATTCAGCAAATATCTTTCGATATGCAATTGTCTGATACAGTAAGTCAGTCAGAAATTAGTCCAATGATAAATGCATATATTTCGCTAAAAATCAAGTTGTTACATCTTAAATCGCCCTCAAATGCCTTGGTACGGCCGAGAGTGGCGAGAGTCCGCTCCCCCTCTCGAAATGCTCTTACATGGCCATGCGTATATAGCCTCCGCCAGGGAAGTCGTACTCACTACCTTCTCGCGTCCAATGTGTTGTTTGTGAAATTGAGAGGATGAAAAGCGAATGTCCGGAGTTGTCCCCGGGTTGGTGGACATGGAGAGCCACTTGGGGGAGTTGGAAAACCCTGATTCCAAATCAATGGTGCACATGGGCTCCAGTATCCTGAGGGAACAAATGGCGTATAAACCAATTTTTGGTCACCGGCTACCATGGGACTGCATCTCCTTTTTTGCTCCACTGCCTTGTGGGTCAGGCCTTC